GCATTAACACCCAACAAAGTTGCACTAAGTTGGTGGATACAAGCATGGACAGAAAGGAAGAGCTTAAGAAAAGTATTCTTCAGAGAGAAGCCGACCTCAATCATTTTGAAGGTGACACTGATGTATCAGAATTTCTGTCTGATTCAGATGGCAACAGTGTGGAACTGCAAGCAGTTTCTTCATCTGATGATGAAGATAGACCAATGGCACAAAAAATAAAGCCAGTGAGAAATCCTGGTCCAACAATTAGATCACACAATGAGGCTGAGATAATGGAAAAACCAGATTGGTTGCCTGAAGCTGATGAAAAATGTTTTCCTGGTGATTATGGCATTAGTGATGAAGAAGATGAGCCTGAAGGATCCCATAAATTACCAAGTGGTAGGAAGAGAAGGAATATGAAGTTGAAGGAAAGGGTATGGTTCAATCCCAAACTACCAAACCCAGAAGATCAGTTTTGTAAGGGATTGTGCTTCACCAGTGTTTATGAGTACACAGATGCACTTAGGGATTTTCACATTAGGACATTGAGGAACTTTCAATACCATAGAAATGCCCCAGATAGGATTATTGTTTGGTGCTCAGAGAGAGCACAAGGATGTGATTTTTATATCACTGCCTCTAAAATAGCTCATGAGAAAACTTTCTGCATTAAGAAGTGTGATATTATGCACACTTGTGGAGCATGTGCAGAGTCCACAAAGGTTACTACAAAGTGGTTGTCCAGATCAGTACAGGAAGCATTGAGAGAAGACATTAGATCTCCTGTGGATGCATTAATTAAAAAGACAAAGACCATATTTTCAGTGGATGTGTCAAGGAGTGTGGCATATAGGGCAAGGAGGAAGGCTGTTGATGTGGTGCAAGGTGATCACAAGCAGCAGTATTTGAGGTTAAGAGATTATATTCAAGTTGTTCTTGATACAAACCCTGGGAGCAGGTGTATAGTGACAACATTTGAAGATCCAGAAAACCCAGCACCTACTCCTAGATTCAAGTATCTTTTCTACTGTTTAGCAGCTTCAAAGGAAGGTTTCCTTAATGGTTGCAGATCATTTATAGGTAACTTTTGAAGATTTAACTATTATTAATTAGTGGTTTCCTAGTAGTTCTATGTTGTAGCTAATTTGTCACTTAATACAGGTCTTGATGGATGCTTCATCAAGTTAACCACTGGACAACAAATACTTGCAGCCACAGGAAGGGATGGCAACAACAACATCTACCCCATAGCTTTTGGTGTGGTTGACAAGGAAGATGGAGAGAGTTGGACTTGGTTTTTAACTCAGTTGAGATGTTGCATTGGTAGTGGCAACTAGTTTGGAACATACACCATCATATCTGACAGGCAAAAGGTTAGTGTCTTATGCACAAATATGTTAGATAAATGTGGTTTTAGTACCTATTGGAATTATTTAAGTTTGATCATGTGCATTACTAATTTGTTAATGCACAGGGCTTGCTTAAGGCAATAAATGAGGTATTCCCTGATTCACCTCAAAGGTACTGTCTTAGGCACATATATGCAAATTTCCAAGCAGCTGGATTTAGGGGGCAGGAACTAAAGAAATGTGTGGATCAGGCTAGCTACTCTTACACAAAACATGGTCATGAATTAGGGATGGCAGATTTGAAAGCACAGTGTGAGGATGCTTGGAAATGGCTAAAAAAGATTGATGCTTCTGCTTGGGCTAGGTTTGCTATGGATCATACATGCAAAACAGATCTAGTGGTGAACAACCTGAGTGAAGTGTTCAACAAGATGATACTGGATGTTAGGGCTAAGCCTATAAGGACAATGTTTGAAGGGATTAGGACCAAGCATATGATCAAGAGGCAGCAGACCAGAGAGAAGTTATAGATTAGCAGGTGGACAATCACACCCAACTATGCAGAGATTTTAGAAGATAACAAGAAATATGCCAAGTATTGCCAGGCTGATAGAGCAGGTGAAACAATATGGCAAGTTACCAGCAAAGAAAAACAATATTCTGTTGACATGGAAAAATGTACCTGTGATTGCAAGAGATGGAACATGTCAGGAGTACCTTGCAGTCATGCCATATCTGCAATGACAAAGCAAAAACTGCATCCTGAGGACTATGTTAGTGAATTTTTCAAGAAGACATTATATTTTGAGACATACAAAGAAATTATATACCCTGTCCCTGGTCCAGATTGCTGGCCTCAAACAAACACACCAGACATTGAGCCTCCTGTTTTTAAAGAAAAGGCAGGGAAAAAACAAACTGCAAGGAGGAAAGGGCAGTTTGAAGTTCCAGGTCCAAGAGATAGTAGTAGGATGGGGACTATAACACGTAGCAACTGTGGGCTAGAAGGACACAAGTATACAAGTTGCAGAAGGCTCTGAGGCCTAAGCTTTAGATGAGGAAAAACAAACATCAGGTAATTACATGACTTACAAGTTTCCTTTTTCCATGGTATTTACCTCACTAAATGTGTCCTGGTTCTTGAATGCAGGAAAACAGGGCAGTTTATGCAGATACACCAGCTGCACCAGCTCAAGGCCATGCTACAACTGGAAGAAGAGCCAACCCTACCATATCAGTCTGGACCAAAAGGAAGAGGTATCCAAGCTCCAAATTGAAGGGCTACTTCTATGCAAGTGGTAACTAATGGAAAGTCTGAACTTAGTTTCCGAACTTTTCTGAACTTAGTTTCTGAACTTAGTTTCTGAACTTAGTTTCTGCTCTTAGTTTCTGCTATTACTTTCTGCACTTGTCCGAACTTGTCTAAGATGGGCCTGCTGCCCTGTTATGTTTTATTAATTTGGGCCTGGTACTGGGCTCGGTTATTGGATCTCTCTGCCCCCCTCCCAAGCCTGCCATTCTGTCTACAAAAGACGCAGTGATCGTACAACATCTTTCCCCTAACCCAAAACCTAGCCGCCGCGGAAGCACGCGGACCCTAGTTCAGCCAGAGATGGATCCAGCATTAGGAGAGCTAGTGGATGACCATGAGGAGGTTGATAGGGCTGCTGCGAGGGCCAATCGCAGAGCGCGTGTGCTGGAGCGACGGCGGAGGCTGGCTGCCAGGATTATGGCAGAACGCAATGCCAACGATGTCAAGTAGTTCAATGAGGCGTTCCCAGAAGGAACGCACATCACGGATGACCTTGTCATCTGGTGGGCAAGAGACAGGGCAAGCTTCCATCGATTAAAAGTAACAAGGACTCGGTGGACTAGGATGTTGGCTGCGTTCGAAGGAAGATAGGAGTAGTTCTCTGCATGTTCTCTGCTTGCTCTGTGTTTTCTGTTTATGTATGTCTCTGAACTTATTTCTTCCTTCATACTACATTTGCCTGCACTTATTGTTGTTACTTCTGAATGTTCAGAGCGGTGTCATCTTCGTCGTCTGCAGAGTGAGAGAGCATGCAACAATGGAGATACGGCAGCAAATTATCGTCATCTTCGTCGTCTGTATTAGTACTAAGTTTGCTTAAATCAGCTCGAACTATCTATGTTTTATGCATTTTAATGCGTGGTACTGAAAGTTTCGTCTCTGTCTATGTCTGGTTAAGGATCATGCTATCTAAGCATTGCTGAATGTTTCTAAATTTGGTTTAAGTTTATGAATTAGCTTTATGTTCATGAATGTCTTGTAAATACTTGAAATCTGGTTTGAGAGCATGCTACCTAACTTTCACTTTCCCGATGAGAAATGGCAGCAAATTATCACAAGTTTCAACACACTGAAACTGTGAACATTAAATACAGCACATCTACCACCTGTACAGAATAGTAAAATCTCCTCACTATTACTACTCCACTGCCACACAACACCTCCCCCCACTTAACTCCTCCATATAACTACTACTCCAGCACCTATCCAGCTCAGTTCTGCCGCACCCACAACTACTCCTCCTCCCCCTAGCTCCAACCATGGCTGGTTCTTCCTCTTCCCCTTCCCCAGACCCATGGCTAAACCCATTCCCAACTGGCAAGGGATGGGTTGCCATGCTTCTTGGTTCAGCATGCGGCGACCAAGAACTCTTCCTCGACTACCTGAAGGTCGCCATGAGGTACACCAGCGCTATTGGGCTGGTAGATGCAGCAGAGGAAGTGAGGAAGAAGGTGACTAGCAAGGAGAAGCAGCACATGGAGCAGCGCTATGGAAACCCAGGTAAGGTGGTCATGCCCATCGACATTCTCCTATGGGCAATGAAGGAGGCCGACTCCGGCGATGCTGGGCAGAGGCAGCGGTGGGCAGACCACCGCTATGTCGCTCCAGCACAAGCTACATCAAATGCAAACACAACAGAGGTGCACGAAGACGATGACGACCTATAGATCGTCGCACAGCCAACTATGCAGGCTCGCCGCCGTCCTCCTCCCATCATCAACATCGATGAAGACGAAGAGGAAGAGGAGGTGGAGGTGCAGCCAAATCCCACCCAACTGAAGCAAGAGGTACGATGATCCGGACGCTTAGCAGGACAGACAACTAAGTGAATCTAAAACTATAAGTTTCAGATTCAGTTTCGTCGGTAGTTGAACTACCTATGTCAGTTTCGTCAATTGAACTACCTATGTCAGTTTCGTCAGTGTCAGTAATCTTCAGTTTTAGCAAGTATTGTGCTATCTATGTAATGCTACCTATGGTGCCTCCTATGTGAACTACCTACCTTTGTTCAGTGTTACCAAGTTTGTGCAATGTGTGAAATGTTACAACAAACTTCTCAGGACCATATTGCAGGTAGGATAAAAAAGATAGATAGAAACTGCAACAGGCTTAGATAATAAGGTTCTTAACTTAGCATCAGGGCATTAAAGATAACATCATCTTAGAGCATTACAGATCAGGGCCATAACAACACCCCACACCACAACCAAAATGATCTGAAACCATAGACAGTTCTTAGGCTTAGGCAGTTCATTAGCTAATATTAGTACTGAGATGCATATTTGCATCAGACTCCTTCATTGCTAGGCCAGTTATATATAAAGCCTCATATTTACTTACCAACCATGCCTAAAAAATCACTCCTCCATGACAACTTCTTTGATCTTATCCAGCTTTTCCTTGCACCCATGACCAGCCTTCAGTAGCTCAGAAATGACATGCTCCAGCTTCTTCTCTTCTTTAAGGAGGTCTCTCTCCACTTGTATCTCCTTCATGGCCTTCCTGGTATTTTGAATGATATCAGCTTGACTCTGCAGGATGCACCTCTGTTCTTTCTTCAGCTTAAGCTTCTCCATTTGAACCTCAATCTTTGCCTGCTCCTCAAGCTGATGCTTCTTCTCCTTAAGTTCATTGATTGCCTGGCTTGTGTAATCCATGTCATGGGATTTCTGCCCATCCTGGTAATCAAACAACTTAGATACATCATCCACAAGCTGACTGTACTGATTGGCAAGAGAATCCAGCTCCTTCTTCAATTTCTCAGCCTCTATCTCATGAGCTTATTTGTCTTGGACTCTACCAAGGTTCTCCTCATGATACATATCCCACAGCTTGGTTAAACACCTCTGCAGAATTACTGGCCAAGGGGCATCTACCCACTCCAGAACACCACAGTTCACACCATCCTAAAAATGCAGTGAAATATTAATGATACCTAAATCCAGTAAAATTCAGTTACATAATTCATACATACATATCAATGTTTGTCTGAATGCGGTAACAAAGAAATTCAGTTAGACCAATTTTAGATGTTCCCTAAATTCAGTTTCTATCAGAGATTTAGCTAACACATGAACACCACACCAGCTTTGTACTTCAGTTTTCAGTAAACAGATACTGAAACAACAAGAATATCAATGTTGTTTGCACTATGTACCACCAAATAAATCTACACATGAAAACCACTAACAATTAGTTGATCTTACCATAGTAGCACATCCAATGAATCTCCTTCCAGTGTCAGTCCCTTCAAATGCCACAAACCTGCCTGGTCTCTGCCTGTGCAGGATGCACCTACGGTCAGATTCAACCACAAGCCCACTGAAACTTGGATCTATCACCGTGTTAGGAGTTTGCTGCAGTACCAACCCCATATATATCAGCCACAACACCTCACACATAAGAACTACATGGAAGAGCAGAGTGAGCTCAAACCCTAACCCTAACCCTAGCATAGGAGAGAACAGAGTGAGCTCACTTACAAAATACTCCATTTGCATGCTGCTGTACTCATCCATGTACTCGTCATCGTCGGCGTCGGATGTCTCATTGCTGTTGGGCCAGGAAGGCATCCTCGCGCCGCCGCGTCGCAGTCGCCGGAGGAAACAGAGGAAGAAGAGAGAGCTCGGGGAGATTAGTGAGTGAGTGAGAGTGAGTGAGGGTCGGCCGGTCGGTCGGTCGTTTTGACCTAGCCCCTGGCTGGTTCCACCGAGCCGGGCCACTAACGGCCGCGAGCGGCGTCCGTTAGCCGTTAGGGCCGCCGTCGGCCTGCCATGTGGGCCATCCCTGTCAGTTAAGCGGTTAAAACGGCTAACTGGACGATCAACACGACTTGGTAGTTTTTTGCCACAAAATTTTAAATTTTCGGTAGTTATTAGTCATTTTTTTGAAAATGATAGTTCTGTGGAACGGATACCCCTAATGTGGTAGTTTTTTGTCAAATACTCCGACCGGACAGTCGGTGGACGTGGCAGGCGAGGAGGTGGCGGTGAAGAGGCCAGCGGAGGCGCCGGAGGCAGAGCCGGACGTGGAGGTCGAGCGGGAGCGCCTCCGCGTGCAGGCCGCCGAGGACATCGCCGTGGCGCGGGCGGCGGCCGAGCGCGGCGAGCACGCGGAGGCCTCGGAGATGCTCAGCCGCCGGCGCATGGCGCTGAGGCAGTCGCCGCTGGGCGCGAGCGGCGACGCCGGGTGCGCGGAGCTGGCGGCGGAGCTGGGCGAGCTGAGCGAGCGCGTGGGGGACCGGAGGGAGTACGACCTGTCGGGGCATGTGTCGTTGTTGTGCGGCATGAGCGCGCACTCGCAGCAGCGCACGTCGGTCAAAGTTGGGTGGGCGAGGTACGCGACTCCCGCCATGCGTAAGATGGTGGACCTGTCGGTGAAGACTCATGAGCAGCAGCAGCAGCAACAGGCACAGGCGCAGCCATCGCCGCCTTCAAGGACGGCGATGCCGCCGCTGCCGCCTTCGACGACGACGGCGGCTCTCGCTAAGAACCTGGTGAGAAGATACCACCGGTTTCTACGTCTCAAGTGAACACGGGGCGACCAACTCAACCGCTACGAAAATGCTCGCGCGCGACGAGCACAGAAAATAATTAGGACGTGAACTTGCACGGTCTTTTATCTTAAATTTTTTGTTTCCTCTCTATTTGCATCCATCAATCTTGTAGGAGTAGGTTTACAGTTTGGTTCTAAAAGTTCCTAGCAGATAATAATAGGCTGGTTTGGCTCACTGTTTTCCCTTTTACATTCGTATGAATTACTGTATTTATGGAACGTCAGCTGGAGACGACGTGCGAGTGAACGCTTGGTTCGATCGAAAAACCCCTATTCTGTTTGCTGGGATTAATCCTCCCGAACGAAACTAACTCACCGAGAGCCTCAAGAATAATAAAACGACACGGGTCGAGGTGGCAACCGTGGCGGCTAGGGTAACTCTTCGAGTAAAGTCTGAAATAAACCCTGACTTTGTAGAGGCCGATGTAAATGAACCCTCACCTTCAAATCCCTGAAGTTGGTACCCTGACCTCTTTGATCCCGGTCTATTCTAACCTTATACATGTTTGGCGCACCGGAGATAGAAACAAACAATTCAAGGCGGGTTCATTCGCTGCTCTCACTGACATTATGGATCCACAAGTTAGTCTCTCTTGTCTTATCTTCCTCCTCTATCCTCTCCTCTCAATTCCCTTTCCCTATTCGTCCCCAATCCCCTTTCCCTCTCCACTCCCAATGGGCCCACAGGCGATGCAACTAAGGCCTGGGGTCACGACGTCCTGCATGCGTGGTGAGACGCGGCGGCGAGCGCGATGGCCAGCACGCGACTCGACCACGGCGAGCTGGCCGGTGACGTGCGCGACCAGTGGGACGGGACGGGAGGAGATAATTACAACTACGGTACATGTACTATCCGGCGCGTAACAAGACAGTCATGGCACTCGTCGATTGCTCCGATACGGTCCTCAAATACGCAGAAACACTCCAAAACGGTCCTCTGTGCCTATCTCATACGAACCTGGCTACTCTCCCCGTACACGCGAGGCCCAGACCACTGCCACGTCAACTCGCGGGCTGGTCGAGCCGAACCGGTTAAGGGGGTGTTTGGTTCAGGGACTTTTTAGTCCCAGAGACTAGAAAAAGTTCCTAAAAAGTCCCTAGGAATCAAACGGGAGGGACTTTTTCTATAGGGACTAGAAAAAGACTCTACTGGAGAGTATTTTTTGATTAGTCCCTGGGACTAGAAAAAGTCCTAGGACTTCTAAACCAAATACCCCCTAAACCAGATGGGCGGCGCACTGGTAGGCCAAAATTCCCCATTACCTTCCTAACCCTAAATCACAAATTCCTCTCCTCTCTCTCGACGGGCGGCGATAGCATGACGGGGAACCTGTTTCCGGCCCCATCAACCGCGGCAAGGTTGGGCGTCGCACCCACGACGCCGGCGATGCTGTCAGTGGCTGGAGGTGTGGCGTCGGGCGTGTGCTCCTCGCTCGCACGCACGCCGGTGATGGACGTGCTGCAGACTCGCGCACCCACGTGCTCCTGGTGACGGCAGTTGGAGACCGACCGCGCTGCTCGACGTCCTCGTGAAGACGTGTCGCGTCAAGCTGACAGAGGTGGGCATCGAGGATGCCTGCCCGCCGTGATCTTGCTGATCTTCTCGTCGACGGCTTGGCTCGGCAGCCTGGATGACACTGGGCCTGGCGAGGCCGACGGCTCAATCTAAATTTCTAGTGAATTAGGATGCCACTATGTCAAGTAGAATAGGCAATTTGCCAAACTGGCATGCTACATAATGAAATTTGTATGCTACCTTTTGCCAAACTGGCAGTCTAATCAGAAATTGTACGCATCCAGGATGAGGATGATAACAATTGTGACATACGTTTCCTAGAAGACCTGCGCCAAAGCATTGGTACACCAGTACTGTCGTTTTGCTGTCGTTTTCCTTCTTGCTTCTCAACAAGCCTGATTCTGTATTGCTTTACTGTACAAAAATTGCTGGGAATTGTAGCAAGTTTGGCGGCTTATTAATTTGCTAGGAAGTCCAGTAGTTGAGTACAGGGCATACTAACTTCACTTGAATCATACATGTTTCTAAAAAAATATAGAACAGACAAGGAGCAAAAATCATGTGCCAAAATAATCTATTTTCATACACGCAGCAGTTGAACAGAACAGGGGCTAACATGTTTCATACATTTCACAAAAGCATTCAATTTAACAAGGTTTGCCTGATCATTACATGATCTTGAAAATAACATGATTAGTCTAACAGGTTGGTGAAAGCAAATAAAGGAGTTCTGCAACTTAACAAAAGAAAACACACAACAGTTCATGTATGAAATGCTTATATCCTCTCCTCCCTAAATATATCAAACAAGCTACTTTTTCATGGTTTCTTAAAATCTGTCCTCGATTGACTGAAGTAAGGTCTCTTTGGCACATGTTACTACTCCAAAGTGCTCTGCTTTGCTTGGCATTCATCCTGCCTTTGCTTCTCACTTGCCAATCTGAGATTTTCTTCCATTGCTTGTTTCTTTCCTTCCTCGGCTTGGGCTTGTGCTCTGTTCCATTCTTCTGCTTGTTTCTTTCTCTGTCAAGGACCTCGGTGCCCAAGACAGCAGGACCTCGACTACGTAGTTCGTAGTCTCGGTTGATAGGAGCGCTAGGGGTTTTGCCTAACTGCCCAATGGTGCAGGAGAAGATATTAGGAGTAGAGGAGGAGGTAGGAGGTAATGATTTATTGCTTGCGTCAAAGGGTGCAGATTACAGGATATATAAAGGCCTTATGGGCTTCTAACAAATTAGGAAACTAACTACTCCTGGACTCTAGGAACCAACGTAGGATCAGGACTCCTTGCCCCGATCATGCCTCGCCATCTGTGGCCGTCGGTTGCTGCTCCTGGGCGCGCGACCCGCGCCTGTATGCAGCACCCCACATGACATCTCTCCCCCCTCGACGAGCAGCTCGTCCTCGAGCTGAAAAGTGGGGTAGCGCTCGACAAAACTATCAAGATCCTCCCATGTTGCCGACGACGCAGCCTCGCACTTCCAGTGGACAAGGAGCTGGCGAACGCCGCGTGCGAGGCGTGAACGAGTCACGCGTTCTGGTTCCAGGACAGCCGCACCGTTGTGGATTGGAGGCAAACCCGGCGGT